AGAATCCACTCTGAAAGTTATATCAGAATTGAAACTTCGAAGAGCAAATGAAGCGTCGTAGTTGAGATTTTGACGAACAGTACGACATATCATAACGAAAGATTCTTCATGTTTGTTTAACAATTGGTTATCGTCTGCATTAGATAATTCCATAGAGTTCAATGTCTCACGGGCTTTAATTCGATTTATAGCCTTTAAGTATCCAATTTTATCTTCTTGTAAGCTATATCACAACAAATTAAAAAACTTAATAATTTCAATAAATATAATTTTCATATAAATTACTCTATATACCGTTTCGATATACGCTCTGATCGTGACTGCATTAATTGAAATTGGTTAATAAAAATTTAATTAAAATCCAATAATTCAATTCAATTAAAAATAATAATAATCAAAATAATAAAATATATAACATATTACCGTTAAATTAGAAAGTTGTTGCAATTTCAGAATTATATCATTTGCAAATCTCAGTAAATTTGACATAGTGTCATTATCTTCGATTTTAGAAATATTATGCATGCCTATTATTTCGTTGAAAATTTCTATTTAAAAATAAGATGTATAATAACATATGAACAAGTTATAAATATTTAAATCAATAATAACAAAATATATTAATAACTATGTATTCATATTTGCCTGAATCTTTTAGTTTAAGAACAGTCTTGCGAATAATCAATTCTTTTGAAATCTTGAAATTATTTTTGTGTTCATGTTCTGACCATGCAACAAAGGAAAGGTGATCGAAAATAATTAACAAATCCATAAAATATTCTTTATCCTCCATCTTAAGATGGTTACTACTGATTTGCAAATCTTCAATAAGACTAGCAATCAAAGAAATCAAGATTAATTTAGAATTGAGTAAACTATTATAATGTGATTAAAAAGTATATTTTAAAGTACATACTTTGTAAAATTTGCATTATTTGATAACTTTGAAATCATCACCTTTCGGCGAGGGGATCTCTCAAGATAAAGAGGGGAAGAATACATATAATCCACATTCGCATCATTTATAGTATTACGCGATCGAATATCTTCATTAACCATGTATTCAATTTTTATGGATTGCAAGTAATTTTCAATGTGATTAGCCGTTGAACGAATTAATGCAATCGCGTGATTTTCGTCTAAAAAATAAATAAATCTAGTATTGAATAAGATTGACAAATATAATAAAGTAAAAGATGT